ATCCAGCTCTGCACCTTGTTGTCTCGGATTCTCCAGCATCTGCAGTTTCTACTATCTCTAACTCTGTTATTCCTACAGGTTTCTGTAATCTCTCTACACATCTGCGCCTCTAGTACCTGCTGGCTATTTGGGGGCTATTTGACTGTCCCCTTTTTGTTTCTAATTGTCGAGAGGGCTGTTAAGTGTCAACCACATTGTTGTGGATCTAATGTCACATGTTGGCCTGAGCAGGTAAAGATGGTGGATTTCCTTCCCCAAAGTACATTAGTGAGCCCGATTTTTTTTTTACGATGATTGACAATGGTGACATGGGGCCTCAATAGGCTAGCTTTTATTCCAGATTTTGTAAAATTCAATTCAATTTTCACCGCCTGCAGTGGGGTTCAAACCCATATGCCCAGAGCATCAGCCTGGGGTTTTGGATTGTTAGTACATTAACAATACCACTACACCATTCCTTTCCTTAAATTTCACCCTATGAAACTTAAAATCAAAGAGATAAAAATTAGATTTCCCCCTGTGCTGACATAACTTATTGTATATTGCTAATCGGAATATTTCAGATTTCGTTTGAGTGCAGATAACTTTCCTAAATTGTCAAAGTATTCAAGCAGAAAACAGAGAACTAAAGAACTGCCCATGATTCAAAATTTTTCAGTATGTTTTGAAATTTAGTCTCGAAATATTTTTCGTTTGTGTTAAAATTCATCTTCAGACCCTTTACACACTCCATGATTTAAACACATATAACCCTTAGCCCCTCTGCTTCTGAATTATTGTTTAGAGTCATGTCTTTTATTTTCTATTACTCCTCCTTGTTCTTCCTCTTAGGAAATATCACTTCTACTTCTCTGTGTTAAATTTAATCTGCCACATGTCCACCCAACCAGCTAAATGTCTGTGCCCTTTTGTCCTTTATTACTCTCCTCCGCACAGTTCACAGCATTTCCAAGTTTGATGGAATCTGCAAATTTTGAAATGCTGTCTTATGCACCCAAGTCCGGGTCATTAGTCTAGATCATGAAAAACAGTCTTTCATATCACCCCCCAAGAAAACCCGAATATATATTTTCCTCCAGCCCAAAAAGCTGCTGCTTACTACTACTCTGTGTCCAATTAATCAGCTAACTTCCTATCTATGCTGCCACTGGCTCTGGTTTTTCCCATGGCTTTGACTTAACTGATACAACTGGGGAGAATCTGAGGCTGGCGTACACTTGATAAGATTTTGAAGATGCTTTTACTGACCCTTGACCTTTCATGTGAGGTCATTAAATTTCTTGCAGCACTGCGTCCTGGTTCTTGAGGTTGACACCTTGATATTTATATCCATGTTTACCTGTTCCCATTGTCGTCTTATCCTGTGTCTGGAGGGCCTGTTGTGGATACAGGATATTTCTCCTAAGTTCCAGAGAGACTTCGAATGCAGCATTGGTAAAACTTGGGTATCCTTTCTTCCATGGTCAGCTATTGCTCTTTGTTGCACAACACTAATCTAAAGGATGTCAGCAACAACAGCCAACCAAGAGTGTTTCCTCAAAAGCAGTGCAGGCAAGCTTTAAGTAGTATTAGCATAAAATGATAACGGCTGTACGCAGCTCTCATGTTAATGAGAAGGCAGCACATAATTAGTGTTATGTTGAATGGGTATGAATTGTGCATTGAGATTCCCTTGCCCATTTTATGAATACTCCCTTCTCAAATTCTCTTAAACTTTGTATGAACACTATTTTGTCTTGCTTGGCTTGCAGAGCCCTAACAATCTAATCTAAAACTAAGTTTGTCTCTGCCACACATCAAATTTTCCATCTACATAGATATTAAGATATTTTCACATTGCAGGCCAAATGCCCTGTTGGTCACTTCCACTTACCATTTTCATTTTTAACCTTCCTTCATAATTGTGACCCTGTACGCTAACCCCACTTGCTATGTAGACTATGTTCTGCACCTGAGTTAGATGGTTGACTATTCTACTATGCACAATATTGCATTTATATCCTGATAAAACCACAAGGCAGGGTCCTGATGATGTGACTCTAGCAAGACCAGTGGTGTGTAGCTTATTACTTGTAAGCTTGTAAAATTTCACAGTAACCAGGGTACACCCTGCAGGATAAGTGAAGTGTCTTCCTCTGGGGAAGGAATATAATTTGTGTAGGACAAACTGATAGGCTACATATCTAGATTTCTCATTAATTTGGTTCAGAGATTCTTACAATGATGAGTTACTGCGTGCACGTGGCACCTGGCACCTAATTCTGTGCTCTTTTTTCACTTGTTGGACGTGGTCATCACTGGCCGGGCCAGCTTTTATTGCCCATCCCCAGTTGTCCTTGAGAAGGTGGCAGTGAGTTGCTGCATTGATCACAGCAATCCATGTGCTATTGTGTTACTAAGTAACATAGATGAGTCCAGAAGAAGAGGCATACTGGACTCAAAATGTTAACTCTTTTTCGCTCTCCACAGGTGATGATAAACCTGCTGAGTTTCTCCATCATATTCTGTTTCAGATTTCCAGCATTCATGGTATTTGGCCTTATACTGTTGGGTTGAGACAGTGATTAGAACCCAAGTTTTCCTGAATGAAACTCTGACATTCTATGACTGACACGATCGGGACTGCAATTAAGCGTTACTGCAAAAGCTTCCTTTGATGTTTGGTGACAGATAAAGAATCTTTCTGGCAAAGTTCATATTTACTATTCTGCATTTAAGATTTTGTTTCTATATATTGCATTCGCACTGTTTAAAAGCCAATTGCATTCAGGACAGTTACCTTTCTTCTTGCATTAGTATGTAGCTATTATAGTGTATAGATCATACCATTTTCAGTTTGTGAAGTACAAATTGCTTAAGTTGAAGATAACTTTCTTTCCTTTAATAGGTTCCTGGCGATTTAAGTCAAACCTCTGAGGACCAAAGTTTATCAGACTTTGAAATGTAAGTTGCCTTTTGCTTGACATAATTCTTATAACTCTTTCTCGTTGAAATACTTGAATTTTATTTTGCCACCTTCGCCATCAAGATAAGTTTTGTTTTGGGAATAATTTGTGTGTTCCTTTGAAGAACGATCACATGCTGATAGACGGATTGTCTTTTATTAATCAATCGTTCGTCTGAAGCCTGTAAACCAAAATGTGTTCTGCTGACATCTTGAGCCTCGCTGTGTCAAAGATTTACCACTATTTCGAATGAGAAAGTTTTCAAATCATGACAGATTATTCTGGATTTCACTAGAATGGTAGTTTGCCCGGACAGCAAAGTTTTAGTTGTATGATTTAAAGACGTGGCTATCTGAGAAAGGAAGTTATGATGAGGAAGAACAATAGTGTGATTTGTGATGAGTCATATAAGTTGGAGAAAACGTGGGGCTGGGGCAATAGTAATTGTGATTCACTAGAATGAGAAATCGAAGCTGACAGTTTTAAAATGCAAGAAATGGAACAAAGTCTTTTTTTAATCTTTCCTAGATAGCATTACAGACTAAGTTGCACCCTACTGACTTGTTTGTGTTAGGTTCTGTGGACCACAAAGATGAAAAGGTGTGACACAATTGCTGACGTTTTGCATGGAGCTGATGGTTTTGCTCCTCTCTCCCTATCCACTACCCCCAACCCCGATCTGAACAGTCAGGGGTAAGCATGCCTGGCTAGGTCTTCCTGTAGCCATATTACTGTCAACAAGCTTAAGGTCAGACCTCCATCCCATCGGTGAAGAGCTGTGCTTTTAAATGATTAGAACTCTCTTGATCCAGCAGTGCCACTGGGAGCGATGGGCAATGCTGGCAGGGCGGGAACCCCCTAAAAAAGAGATGCCATAGAGTTGGACTTCATGGCAGGTCTGCTGCCTCGCCAGGCTAGCCTGAGGAGAGACTAAGGGGCATGGTTATGGGAGTGGAAATTGCCTTGGGTTTTGGTGGTCGGTGGGGAGACTTGCTTTGGCGAGTGCAGGATACCCAGTCACCTCACCAAGTCATCAATTGCATGTAAAATCTCAAAGGAAGCCCTTCAGTAGTCATTAATATTTTTTAATTCACTCACGGGATGTGGGCTTCTCTGGCGAGGCAAGCATTTATTGCCCATCCCTAATTGCCCGGAGGGCAGTTAAGGGACCATCATGTTGCTTTGGGTCTGAAGTCACATATAGGCCAAGCCAGGTAAGGATGGCAGATTTCCTTCCCTAAAGGACTTAGTGATACACTTGGGTTTTTTCAGACAATCGACAATGGTTTCATGGTCATCATTAGACTCTTAATTCTAGATTCTTTATTGAATTCAAATTCCACCATCTGCCGTGATACTGCTGGGCCATCACCTCCCCATAGTTGGCTATTTAAGAGCCTTAATTGGGCTTCACTGCCCCTCCCCAGCCGCAGGTTAAATCCCAGTGGTGGTGAGCAGGTTTTATGGTGCCCAGTTTTATGCCCCCTGCCAAATAGTCCCCAAGGCACCATTGAAATACAGCCAATATCTTTATTATCTTGCTTTTATTAAGTAGTGCCATGAAATAATGCTAAGCAAAAAAAAACCGCAGATGCTGGAAAACTGAAACAAAAAAACGGGAATTGCTGGAGTAACTCAGCAGGTCTAGCATTATCTGTGGAGAGAGAGCAGAGTTAATGTTTTGGGCCCATTCCGAAGAAAGGTCGCTGGACCCGAAATGTTAACTCTGTTTCCTCTCCACAGATGCTGCCTGACCTGCTGAGATTCTCCAGCAATTCCTGTTTTTTTTATTTTTGAAATAATGTACCAGATGCAGCCAAGAGGAGTTCCAAAAATGTTTGAGTTCATTTAAAAATAATCATTGGGATTCCAGAGTTTTGTTTTATCATTTATACCCCCCTATAAATGTTTTAAAGAGATTTACGGCAAACTGATAATATAGCTAATGCTCCTTTTGAATAATGTGAATTGCTGTTCTCATGTGGGCATTTTATAATTTGGCTATGTTGTCTGATTCAGCACACTGACACCAAAGAAACCTCTCTAATATCTACCCAATAAACTATATTTCATAAAATGCACCATTATCTACTTTGTGTATGATGCAGAAAATGGTGCGTGTGGTGCTTTGGTGCAGTTTATTTCATGGGAGAATGAAGACCTTATTTCAAGTGTGGCAGGATTGATACTCTCTCTACTTATTTGTCAATAATTTTTTTATTAACAGTATAATGCAAATCTGCCAATGGTACATCATGCTGTAATAAACAGCATTTTAAGTGACATTTTATGATCTCTATCAATGACACTATAATTTCTTATGAGTAAGAAAGTGACATTATGTTATGTAATGCATTTAATTTCAATTTGCACCTCTGATGATCAGTTACTCAAGCTTAGTATTATTTTTGCCTTATTATTTCTGGACTCCAGTTGTTTTAAGTAATTGCTGCCAATTTACTAGCTTGTCATGTTAAATAACTCAAGATTTCATGTTTTAATTTTGAAACCTGCTGGAAATCTTTTCGTCAGCTGGAGTATTTGTCACATTTTGATTGAATTCATTTTGGTGAATGATAATCTTGGCCAAACCTCCCAGTTTAGTCACTTTTCTTTGCATTCCATTCTGATTTATTTGTTGTTGTTGCTAATTTCCTCTCTTTAACATTTCTACCTTCTTGACTATCCTGTTGTCATTTTTCCTCTTTTCATTGTTCTGAGTATTTAATTGTTTTCACAATAATGTCACTTATTCTTTCCTCAGTCTACTCATTTTGTGTGGTGATTTGCACAAATAAGTGATAACAAGGTGTAGAGCTCGATGAACACAGCAGGCCAAGCAGCATCAGAGGAGCAGGAAAGCTGACATTTCGGGTCTGGACCCTTTTTCAGAAAATGATTTCTTCAGAATTCTTGTTATCTCAGATTCTCCAGCATCGGCAGTTCCCACTATTTCTGCACAAATAAGTGTTTTGATTTGCCACTGCTTTCAATGTTTGATTGACCACTTGTCTGAATCTTATTCCTAAAGCTAGTCTCATCTTTGAACTCAAATTCATGCAAGTTCTAGAAGTTCATACAATAGGCAGCAACATACGTGAGCATAAATCATTATCTTTTGGCCTACATTGCTGTTTCAAACTTCTTCACTTGGCATACTAAAAAAAATGAGCTTTCGCTTCCTAAGGTAGCAAATATCTTGGTTTTGATAGCGTTCTTTTTCTTGGCATAAGGTAAATTCTGTTGTCAACAGCCAAGAAACTTTTCTATCTTTGAGAAGTAATATATTAATTTGCACATCCACTTACAGAATCCCTTTGACTGATTAAACAGTAGTACATAACCTGCTAACCTTTCTTCCCCCAATTGGGTTGTCTACAAACTAGTTTGCAGCAGCTGAACATTTGCCACTTTATAAAATGTGATAATATTCTCATTTTTGTCAGTCATGTTGCTGGCTGAACTCATCATTAGTCTGTCTCTAATTATCACATGTGAGTCTCTTTCCTATTTGCATTTCAGTTCTCTTCGTGTCTCATCCGTTATGAAGCTTTGCTTTGAACCCCATTGTATTGTGTCTCAGTTCTCTTCTGCTCTAGCTCAGCACTTCAAATCTTGTCAGAAGTCCATTTTGCATCTTGTGTTCACATCCTTTCATATGGAAAACCTTTATTCATGGCACTTGTCATATATCTCTTCATTTACATTGCAATTGCTTCGGTGGCTTGTGACTCATGAAATTTCGTTACAAGAGCTTGATTGTATTGTGTTGAGTTACATCAGTGTGAGCAATTTTCACCAATTTTCATTTTATTGGCCTAGATGATCCAATGTATTTCCCTTCTAATTTAGAGTTCTTGCAATGTCACTGCACTGCAGATGCTGGGCACATTAGCTCAAATACATTGCATAATTTTTCACCATATTGAATTGCATTCAATTCATCCAATTACATTGCATTTCTCTTTCTATGTCGTTTTCTCTCCAGCCCCATTGCACCACATCATTTTTCATCCTAATAGGTTACTGCAATTCAAGTATGTTGTATTCATCACATTGTATTGGGTTGCATTGCAGCACTATTTATGGAGTTGTATTAGCATTAATGCATTGTCTCACTGTTCATATTGTAACCCACATGCAGTGTATTCACTTTTCACAATATCTAGCTGCTTCATTGCTCATTGTTTTCTTACTTAGTTGCATTATGTCAAATTTGTTTCTCAAATTTGAGGGAAAATTGCTTGAATTTTACTCTTGTGCTACTTTGCTCGATTGGAGTGGTGAGAATAGGCTGAATATTGCAAGACTGGTACCTGCTTTGTCACTTCAGCTCTGGATTTTACACTTGTGATGATGACACAACCATCAGCATTTGCATCCTGTGCACCAGCAGCAACTTCTGGTCCTACGATTCTGTGTTAAAAGTGAAAACCCAGTCAGTTGCTGTCCTTGATTACCAACACCTCTACAGAAATGTCTGCTGATGGCAATCTTTGAAAATCAGTGAACTGACAGAAACTCGCTTCCTTTTTAGGCTACAATATGGCTGCTAAAATCCCCCAAAAATTTAATGAGGTAAACCATGGTTTTACTGGTATGTTAAGTGCTAACTACAGCTGAGAAATCCTGTAGACTCTGGAATAAAAATTGTGTACTGCCAAGGATAGCAGATACATCGGAACACCACCAGCCTGCAAATTCCCCTCCAAGCCACACAAATACATTGCCATTCTTTCCCTTACACCGGGTCAAATTCCGAGAGTTCTCACCCTAATACTGCTGTGTGTGTACCAACGCCCCAAGGACTGCAGGAATACAGCTCACCACCAACTTGCCAAGAGCAACCAGGGATGGCAGTAACCAGTCCTCGGTGTTGCCACGAATGGGATTAACCTCAGTGCCACAAGTAGTTGGACCGTTCTGTAACATCTATCCTTAGTGGAGAAATTTGCAAAGAAAAACGCCTTTGATCACAAATCCATGGTGTGGAGGAGT